GAGCAAGGTAATGAGTACATTTCTTATCAAGCATTGTTGCCTCCTCCTTTGTTTTTCCCCTACCATCCCTTCCCTCCCATCTCTACTTCTACACTCCCCCCTACCCCCCCACCCCCCTCCCACCAGAGTTGTAAAGTTCATTTTTCGACATAATGCCTTGTACATCTCATTGTTGCAATGGGTCCACCTGTATCCCTATTTAAATGATTTGTTTTTTCCCTTCCCTTCCACAAATTATACCAACATCAAATACAGTGAAAACAGGGATTATACCGTGGGGGAGGGACATACAAAATGACAAAGAAATCATCTTATAAATATGTTAGAAACAATAGCAAGAAAGAAAAAACCACTTGTGTCCTCATCTTGGGGTTCATTTCGCCTATCATCATCTTATCTGACCTTTTCTGCTTGTCTCAGACATTTACTAGTTATTGCAAATAAGGGAAACCATGGGACCTATGTTTCTTTGGGTCTGGCTTACTTCACTTAATATAATTTTTCAATCAGGGGTATTTTCAAATATATACCCAGAAATATATATATATATGTTAATTTTCTTGATCTTAAATTTTAAAAAAAGCATTAGTTGTTTAAAAAAAATCTGTTCTTCAGTTTAAACAAGCTCTAAATTTGTACTGTAATCTCAATACTCAATAGAAATAGTCACCTAAAAAGATGACTGAAGATGTACTGAAACCTCAGCTGCATCCACTTTCATAAAAAGATTTCAAATAAAACAGCAGTTATGTATTGTCCTCTCCCCACACCAAAAAAAGAAATACTGACACATCATGAGGAAACAAAGCCCTGGCTATGAACTACAAATCAGTTCTCAGGAAGCTAGTATTTAAATGCAAGACAACACAAAGGAATCAACAAATGCATTAACTGCATTTTACTCAATTCTTAATTGTTAAAGATACATTAGCTATTTGGGAAGTGGAGATCTTCTTGATCCAGGTATAAATATAAGACTCTATTCAAAAAATAACTAAAGCGGCACTTATACAACCACTTTGGAAAGCAGTCTGGAGGGTCCTTAGAAAGCTAAAGATTGACCTCCCTTACGACCCAGTCATACCACTTCTAGGCATCTACCCTGAACAACAGGAACCAATATACAAGGACACGTGCACCTCCATGTTTATTGCAGCACTGTTCACAATAGCTAGGATTGGAAACAACCTAGATGCCCCACCACAGATTAATGGATCCAAAAATTGTGGTATCTATACACAATGGAATATTATGCAGCCATTAGAAATGACAAAATAATGGCATTTGCAGGGAAATGGATGGAGCTAGAAGGAATCATGTTGAGCGAGGTAAGCCAAGAACGAAGAGACAAATGGTACATGGTCTCCCTTGATAAGTGGATGCTAAATCCAAAATGTAAGTGATATGACAAAACTAACAGGACTTAAGAAACAACTCCCACTCATCTGGTTGAACCACTACTAAATATCCCCATGCTGCTGATCACATATATGGTATATAACATGTGAGCACCGTTATATATTACAGACTGTGATAGACAATTTGCTCCAGGAAAGTTAGAATGAACTTGTGACTTTAAATGAGCATCATTATTCCACAATACTGTGAATTTCCGGAAATTATGCAATCACTTAATCACAATCAAAAAAAAAAAAAAAAAAGAACCTCGGGGAAGGGAGGGGATGGTAGGGGGAAAACAATGGAGGGGTAACAATGTTCAAGAGGAAGTGTACTCATTACCTCACTCATGTAACTGTAACCCTCCGTATAGTATCTTTACAACAACAACAAAAAAATAAAACAAGAGAAAAAAAATAACTAAAGTGGGCTGGGAAGGTGGCTCAGTGGTAGAGCGCTTGCCTTGCATGCCTGAGGCCCTGGGTTCCATTCCTCAGCACCACATAAGCAAAAAGAAAAAAGCCAGAAAGTGGTGCTGTGGCTCAAGTGGTAGAGCGCTAGCCTTGAGCTGAAGAGCTGAGGGATAGCACCCAGGCGCAGAGTACAGGCCCCACAACCAGACCCCTCCCCCCCCAAAAAAACAAAAAACTAAAGCAAAAGGACAGGGGGTATGCCTAACGTGGCAGAGTGCCTACCTGGCAAGTGTAAGGACCTGAGTTCAAACCTTACTTCCTCCTCAAAAGATACTGTTAAGCAAAGGCTCCTATTTTTTAATTAGTAAAAAGGAATTACTGTTCTACAAGAGAGCTAATGTTTCTGAATCCTTACTACATACAAGGCAGGGCAAAGTACTAGAAATTCATCTTTAAACAAGTGTAAGTAGCAGGTGCCACTTAGTTTCCTCTGCTGTGGGCAGAGTATGAAAGTGAACTACGATAAGGTAGACAAGACTGGGGATCTGAATCCAGGTATCCTGCCTCCTAAGGTAGGTTCTTACTGCCTCGGGTATACCTTCTAAAGCACATACAGGACACTTCCTAAACAGCAGCACACAAATGAACTGGATGGACAGTCTTCCTTCAGTTTACCTGGAGATGCTTCAGTGATGACATTGAAATATTTAATAAAATGCTACTTTCTTGGCTTTGCCTCCAGCTGCTTTCACTTTCAAAACAACTTTCTTTCTTTCTTTTTTTTTTTTTGGTGCCAGGACTGGGGCTTGACTTAGCCTGGGCACTGTCCCTGATGTTTTATTCACTCAAGGCTGGCACTCTTACCATTTGGAGCCATAGCTCCATTTCTAGCCTTTGTTGATTAATTGGAGATAAGAGTTTCACAAACTTTCTAGACCAGGCTGGCTTTGAACTTTGATCCTTAGATATCAGCCTCCTCAGAATTATAGGCATGAGCCACTGGTGCCTAACTTGAAGATTATTTTAAAGAAACAAAACCAGCTGGGCACTGGAGCTCATGTCTGTAATCCTAGCTATGCAGGAAGCTAAAATCTGGGCTTGTGACTGGAAGCCAGCCCAGGCAGGAAAGTCTGTGAGACTCTTTTGTTTTGTTTTCTGGCCTGAGCGCTGTCCTTGAGCTCTTCAGCTCAAGGCAAGTTCATTACCACTTGAGCCACTTTCAGTTTTCTGATGGTTTATTGAAGATAAGAGCCTCACAGACTTTCCAGCCCTGGCTGGCTTTGAACTGTTATCCTCAGATCTCAGCCTCCGGAGTAGCTAGGATTACAGGCGGAGCCATAGGCGCCTGATGAGACTCTCATCTCTAATAAACTGATCCCAGTTGGAAGCCAGCTCAGGCAGGAAAGTCCATGAGACTCTTATCTCTAATAAACTACTCAGAAAAAGCCAGAAGTGGTGCTCAAGTGGTAGCACTAGCCTTGAGCACTAAGAGGCTAAGGGCAGAGCCCAGGCCCTGAGGTTAAGCCCCAAAGCTGACAAAAGGACAGGACAGGAACCAAAAAGTACACTAAAGTGGCTGGATTCTCCTGAGATTCTTGGTACTTTGTACACACACCTCTAACGTGTGCATGCCATCTTGTGAGCCAAGATTACATAAACCAGCCGAAAGATAAAATTAGTATTAAGCCACTGGCACTCTCCCATGTGTTCATATATTATCTCCTTAACTACCTAACAGTCTGAATTTGGCCAAGAGAGAAATTATTTCCAATGGCTATCTGAGCTCCTGGCACACAACACACTCAATAAAAAGCTGTTAAACTACCAGCATGTAGGTTCTACAAAAGCTGTAATTAAGCTGATCGTAATAATCAACCTTGTTTATATTATTTAAAACCTAGGTAGTGATTACAGAATTTACCAAGAAAGCTTTAGAGGCCAGTAAAGTCTACAAGTATCTCCTGACTGTGCCAAATTTTAGCATGCTCTTGAGTATCTTCTAAGAAACTTCAAGCTTCAAGTAAACTTGATATTGACAGATAAGTATCTTTGTGAAATGAAGACACTAGGATTATCCTCAGAGACTTATCTTTTTTAGTTTTAGTAATGGAACTTGAACTCAGGTCCTTCCTTCCTTGCTTATAGCTGGTGCTCTACCATGTGAACCATTCCTCTAGTCTTGCTCTTTGTAGGAAGAGTTGGATATTTTTTGGGGGGGGGGTCCGGTCGTGGGGTCTGAACTCTGGGCCTGGGTGCTGTCCCTCAGCTCTTCAGCTCAAGGCTAGCGCTCTACCACTTGAGCCATAGCACCACTTCTGGCTTTTTTCATTTTGCTTATGTGGTGCTGAGGAATGGAACCCAGGGCCCTCATGCATGCAAGGCAAGCGCTCTACCACTGAGCCACCTTCCCAGCTCAGTTGATTTTTTTGAGATGACTTCAAGCCTCAATCCTCCAGGTCTCAGCCTCCTGAGTAGCTCAGATTACAGATGTGACCCAATCAGTACCTGCCCCTCACTGAGCTACCATGAGGAAAAAAAATCAGATCATTTGTATAATTAGTGGGAGATAGCCTTATATAATGCAAGTTCTAGTCATGGTATGGGCAAAACATAATTCTTACCTATTATAACAGTTTTGAGCAAACTGTTAAAAAACAAATACTTCAGCCAGACACCAGTGGCTCACACCTGTAATTCTAGCTATTAAGGAGACTGAGATCTGAGGATCTCAGTTTGAAGCCAGCCCAGGCAGCAAAGGCTGTGAGATCCTTATATCTAATTACAAAAAGCCAGATGTGGAGCTGCCTCAAGGTGCAAAGTGCTAGCAAAAGAGCTCAGGGACAACACCTAAGCCCTGAGTTCAAGCCTCAGTATCAGCATACATAGATACAACAAACAACACAAAACAACAAGAATAAGACAAATACTTCCTGTTGCTTACATTCCCTAGCACATTCATTCTCTCAGACTCAACTCTCCTTTATTGTTTCCTACCTACCTCCTAGTTAGATAATGAATGACTAAGCAATAAATTTTCTTAATAACTTTGAGACTTGGTAATGGTTAAGTTAAAGAAAAGAGGCAAAGAGTTATCTGTATTGTAGAATAATTTGAATAAATTATCAATAGGGCAGTTCACTGTCAGCCAGCAAGTCCTGGGGTCTGGCTCAGAGCAGGGTGCCATGTCAGATGAATGGCCATAACCCATGAGTGCTGTCCAAGACTGGCAGGTATAGGAAAGCAGAAGCAACTAAGGAATTATGGCTTCTTTCTTCCCCATGCTTCTTTCCAAGTGCCTGTGTGTCTCTCATGTTCATCTAAAGGATTAAGGGCAGCAGAAAGCTGCCATACATGTGCACGAAGATAAGGAACAGGAAAGCAAGGACTACCTGAATTGCTGCCAGACTCTAGGAGCCTAACAGCAGTTTCTGAGATTTAAAATCTGCTAAACCAACAACAATAATAAAATCCTAGCACTAAACACAAGTAAACAAAACCCAGCTTGAAGAAATCTGAGCAGCATTCTCAGTGAGCTGGGAATTTGGAGGCATGCCTGTCAAGAGTACTAGTCCCATTTCCTCCCAACTTCCCACTAAAAAAAATACATATGGCCACAAATTCTCCCAGAAGCCCGTTCTTCTTCTTCCTGTAAGCGGCCAGAGGTGACCTGTGAAAATGGTTCGCTACTCTATAGACCCAGAAAACCCCACAAAATCATGCAAGTCAAGAGATTCCAATCTTCATGTACACTTTAAGAACACCAGAGAAACAGCCCAGGCCATCAAGGGTATGCATATCTGAAAAGCAACCAAGTATCTGAAAGATGTGACATTAAAGAAGCAATGTGTGCCATTCCGGCGTTACAATGGTGGAGTTGGCAGGTGTGCCCAGGCCAAACAGTGAGGCTGGAATAGGGTCAGTGGCCCAAAAAGAGTGCTGAATTTCTACTGCAAATGCTTAAGAATTCAGAGAGTAATATAAAACTGAGGGGTTTAGATGTAGACTCCCTGGTCATTGAACACATCCAGGTGAACAAAGCACCTAAGATGCGCCACCGAATTTACAGAGCCCGTGGTAGGATTAACCCATCCATGAGCTCCTCCTGCCACATTGAGATGATCCTTACTGAGAAGGAGCAAATTGTTCCTAAACCAGAGGAGGAGGTTGCACAGAAGAAAAAGGTATCCCAGAAGAAACTGAAGAAACAAAAACTTATGGCATGGGAATAATTTAGCATAAAATAAATCCAAATAAAATTTTAAAATACATATATTTTTTTAATTGGTTGTGGGGCTTGAACTCTGGACCTGGACGCTGTCCCAGAGCTCTTCAGCTCAAGGTGAGCACTTCACCACCGGAGCTATAGCGCCACTTCCGGTTTTCTGGTGATTAACTGGAGATAAGAGTCTCACAGAGGGGCTGAGAAGGTGGCTCAGTGGTAGAGTGCTTGCCTTGCATGAATGAGGCCCTGGGTTCGAGTCCTCAGCACCACATAAGGAAAAAGAAAAAAAGTCGGGAGTGGCGCTGTGCCTCAAGTGGTAGAGCGCTAGCCTTAGAGCTGAAGAGCTGAGGGACAGCGCCCAGGCCCAGAGTTCAGGCCCCACGACTGGACCCCCCTCCTCCCCGCCCCCCAAAAAAGAGTCTCCCGGACTTTCCTGCCTGGGTGGCTTTGAACCACAATCCTCAGATCTCAGCCTCCTGAGTGGATTACAGCTGTATACTACCAGCACACAGCCCCACTAAAAAAATTCTTAAAGAAAACTATTAGCCATCTTTTAAGCCATGGAGTATTGGCCTTTCAGTTTAGAGCAACAAGCAAACTAACATTTCTGGTGTTACATTCCCCTTTAACCTTTGTGCTGCAGGGTTAAATATGTGGTGGGACTTGGGTGTGGTACCAAGCCTGTAATCCTAACTTTGGAGGCTGAGGCAGGAGATTTAAAGTTGAGGCAGTCTGGGTTACACAGCAAACTAACTCTCTCTGTGTCTCTCTGTCTCTGTCTCTGAATAAGATGTGGTAGGAAATCTTGTCTATTTTAAAAATGCAGAAAAATCTTGGGTGTTATAGGGGCCAACTAGTTTTGTTTAAATGACATTACTCAGCACTAGTTCAATAGAATGAAGTCATTTTAAAGAAGCAGAAACTAACCTGTTCTGATACTGGTGTCCACACTGTAAACATTCGAAGTCCCAAGAAAAAGAGTATGTGAAGAGTTTTTCAATCTGGGGCTCTATCTTTAAGAGCAGGGGAAATGCAAACACAGGACTTTCCATCTCACCTGCAAAAGAAAAGAGAAAATTACTACTCATAATTAACAGCAAGAATTAAGTAAAATGCTGCCTTTCTCTACCACATTGTAAATATATGAGACAGAGCATGACAGAGACTAAATCACACACAGATTTACAGCTGGGCAGGGGGTAAGGGGTTTCTAAAAACATCCAGCATAGGTTTATTTGTCTCAGAAGCTTTCTTAGTTTTCTTGGACATTTATGAAAACTTAAGTAGAACCACTTATACTATCTTCTTTGATGGAAAATACTCCAAAATCCTTATTTACTATAACTGCATATATTACAACTAAGATCATGTAAATAGGTCAGGTGCTGTTCATTCACACCTACTTAAGAGGTTGAGATCTAACAAATGCAGTTCAAAGCCAGCCCAGGCAGAAAAGTCCCCATGAGATTCCTATCCAATTAACCACCCCAAAGCTGGAAGTGGAGTTGCAGTTCAAAGTGTTTAAGCACACTAGCTTTGAGCAAAAAATCTCAGAGACAGCTAGGCCCTGAGTTCTAACCCCAGGACTGATTTTTAAAAAATCATGTAAATGGGAAGTGGCGCTGTAGCTCAAGTGGTAGAGCGCTTGCCTTGAGCTGAAGAGCTGAGGGACAGCGCCCAAGCCCAGAGTTCAAGCCCCACGCCACGACCGACCAAAAAAAAAAAAAAATCATGTAAATGCTCTGCTATAAATAACAGATATAAAAATAACCAGATACATCACTTTAAGGCTGTATCAGAATTGGATAGAATTATGAAAAGTTTCTATTCTAATATGACACTCAGGGTCCACAGGTCGATCTTGACTCACCCCCTCAACATCTACGTGTGTGTATCAATCTTGTAGTCTAAAAGATTAGCAAAACTTGTAAGACTAAATTTTGTTGTCATTCAAAGAAAACTTGAACAGTGAATGCTGGCTTCTAGCTTTACTCTGACAAGTCATATGGACTTGCATTCTTTCTCCAAGTGCTTTACTCTGACAAGTCATATGGACTTGCATTCTTTCTCCAAGTGCTTTTTCCCCCTTCCTATCCTCAAGGAAGCTAAGATGGTTCAGGAGAGGCTAGTCCTCACCTCCATACTCCCACTCTCCACAGACAGCCTCACAGTGATCTGTAGAGTCTAGTTTTCTCGTTGCCTGGACCTAGGGCTCCCACAACATGGGTGGCTACACTGTCACCTTGGTAGGACTATGAGACTGACAGTGGATGGTATTGCCTAAGCTTGGTCTATAAATATCAGCAGTTACAAAGGCTAGTTTCCTATCAACCTGGTGTAAAAGTCCCACTGCTATTTTTGCACAAAAATGTAAAACCAAAACAAAGTACTTTTAATTAGAAATATAAATCAACCTTCTAGAAATGAAATATGCAATATTGTGTGCACAAGCAGTAGATAGGGCAGCCCAAATCTGATTAGTCACTATCCTTTAACTGCTTACTTTTCTAACTTAAAAGGCAACCAATTTATATTTTAAAAATGACATTAAAACTTCAGCTCTTAAGTTTTCATTGATGCAAACTATGTAAGAGCTCAGAACACACAGTAAAACAAGTCACTCCAAATACAGATCATTAAAGTAGCTTACATAGCTCCTAAGTTGACCTTAATGTGGAAATTTTATGAGAGGCTTAAAGCATCTTATACTAGAGACCACACAGTAGCGATGCCTAATTTTAATTCCTGTAGTATCTATAGTTAGCGAGATAGTCTCTATGCTTCTAGATTCTAACCCATTCCACCCTTCACCTAGTGTGCCTATTTTCCTAATGCAAATTCACTTGCTCATAGACTCAGCCACTCTTTGGTTCGAACACTGCTAACTAAAACTTTATCAGGTTCTGTCTTTTTTTTTTTTTAACTGATGTAGAACAGTTCTTTCAAAAATACTCTGCATCTTATTTGTTTTATTCCACAGGCAACATTTGTGAATCTCTTATGATACAAAAAATTCCCCTTGGAATGGTAAAGATTCCATCTCCATCTTTGCTGGTGTTTTAAGCCCTGCTTTTTGCACATGTCTTTATACTGAAGTTCTTTTCTGATTATGGTCCCCTCTACTAGGAACCAACAGTCCAACACCATCTTCTCCTGACCATTCTTTACCTACTCATCTTCAGATGCACCTCAATCTCCAAAAGTGGAAGTTCCTATCCATACTCCAGTTGGTTTCACTGTGTGTCTACCCCTATACCAGTATTTTTTTTTTTTTTTTTGTCAGCCTAGGGCTTGAACTCTGGGCCTGGGCACTGTCCCTGAGCTTCTTTTTGCTCAAGGCTAGTGTTCTACCACTTGAGCCACAGCACCACTTTCAGCTTGTTCTGGTGGTAAATTGGAGATAGTCTCACAGCCTTTCCTGCTGGGGCTGGCTTCAAACCATGATCCTCAGATTTCAGTCTCTTAAGTGGCTAGGATTACAGGCATGAGCCACCAGTGCCCAACTTCCTTATTGTTTTAAGAAAAGAAATGCAGCTGGGAGAAATGCACTCAAGAGACTAAGATCTGAGGATTGTAAGTTTGACACCAGCCCAAGCATGAAAGTGAGAGTCTTATCTCCAATTAATCACACACACACACACACACACACACACACACACACACACACACACACACACACACACACACACACACACACGGCACAAAGTAGAATTGTGGCTCAAATGTAGAGCACTAGCCTTGAGATAGTATTCAGGCCATGAGTTCAAGCCCTAGGACTGGCACACACACAAGCACACACACACACACACACACACACACAAATGCCAACACTGGAGGGAAAAATAAAATTAACCGAAGACAGCAGTTAACTTCCTGGGAGATAAGGAAGAACTAGGGAAGAGTACAAAGAGAACAGAGGTTGTTTTTGTTACATTTCTTGAATTTCAGAAAGGGAGAGCAAAATGGAAAATTTACAAGTTCACAATGTGTTTTTTAAAAACGATTAAAAAGATAAAGAAGTTAATATAAAAAGCTCAAACAACATTCAGGTTCAGTACAAGTTGCAGTTCTATGTGTTTAAAACATTGAAATAAGTATTAATATCCAGAATGACAAGACATGGATTGTAAACTTCAAGCAAAGTGGCTCATGCCTGTAATTCCCACTATTTGGGTGGCAGAGATAGGAGAATCAAAGTTCTAAGACAGCCTAGATGCCTTTCTCCAAAAAAAAAAAAAAAAAGTGAGAGCCTATCTTAATCTTAAAAAACAAGCCAGGTGTGGTGGTATATGCCTGTAATCTAAGCTATGTGAGAGGCCAGCCTAGTCAATGAGACTCTATCTGGAAAAAGGGCTGGAGACACAGTTCAAGGATTAGAGTACTTGCCTACTAAGCACAGAGTCTTGTGCTGGATAGAAGAGTTCAATCCTCGGTACAATAAAAAGAAAAAGAAATGTCTTTGGAGCACATTACATTTCATTGGTAAGATCCTAATCTCTACTGTGGCACCTGACCCTGTTGAAATGGCAAGAGTACAAGCAATTGAGGACTGTACTAGTCAAGCTGTATAAACATTCAACATTCGTGATTTCACAATAATAACTGAGAATTCCTTCTGTTACACAGAAAACCAGGTCCAAGTGGAAGGGGAGCAAGACAAGACCCATGATTCAAATGATTCAGACTGGGGGTGCAGAAGTCACATGTGAGCTCCTAGCTTAGGTGACAGTAAGGGATAGAAGATACCAGCAGAATGGAGCAAGGAAGCCTGACTCAGTCTGTACTCCAGGAATGTTCTGGAAATACCTCAGTGTTTGGGGGTAAGAAACAACATTGACAACTAAGGAGTCTGTGAGGTGACAGACTTGTACCACATCTCAGTTTTGGTGATAGTTACACAACTATTCACATTTAAGTGTTTCATTACATAAGAAACCAGGCTTTGGTGAAGAAAAAAGGAATATACCTTCCAATGGATATCCCACCTGACTGACAATGACAACAGTCTTGAGACATTGAAGGTGATGTCAGACAAGGAATGTGGAAAATCAGCTTATTATTAGCAGAACAGAGCAAACAGAGGAGTCCCTGAAATATGAAATCTACAAGACAGAGCCTGCAACAAGTAGGCAGACCGAAAACTGTCAGGTGTGGACAAAGACATTGTTTCCAGATAGACTATCTGAGCCTGATAAAATGAAAAAAAGTAAGGGGGGGAGGGAGGGGAGAGAGGGGGGAAAAC